TAGACAGCGAGAATGTACAGTAAGAATAGCGGGCCTCATGGGTTCAGGGATTTATGGCTGCCACGGTCCCTTCTCGTAATACCGTAAGGACGACTGCAACTTGCGACGGGACGAACGCTCTTATTGCTACGAAAAAACTAACAAATGTACAGCTAAGTCTTAGAAAGATAAAAAATGTACACAAAACTAAAACTACGGTCGTTCAAGGGCCCGGACGAAACGGTAAGGCTATAAGTGGCCTTAACACAACCGTTATAAAGTTATTAAATTTTAAAATCATAAGAATTACTAAAATTATTCAATTTACTTATACACGAAAAATAACCTTTTGGTCAGTTGTCATACTTATTCACACAAGCTTATTTTTAACTTTTAGTATAATAAAATCATGAGTAGATACTAAATACAATGGCTTAAAGACCTTAGTAATTAGAATAAATGGAATTAATTATATTTTTACTTAATTTAGTTAAAATTATAATTCCACTTAGTATTCATCTGTGACTTGACATTTATTTAAAAAGAAGGAACCGTGTCAACCCTTCTCAATCGAGTACTATCGTGATAGCTTTTGCGTTTTGTTCGACAAATCTCACAACATTGGAAATCGGGAGGGTTGAGTGTACCTAGTAAAGGTACACAGTTCACCGTTAAAGTGAGTTTGTTGCTAAAAATCGGTGCTATTGTTACGTGTTACCAACGTCGAAGTACAGTGTTGATTTATTGCTGGAAACTCGCCCTTTTGGTGGGCCTAGCGCACGTGTCGCGCCGGTCGAAGTTTCCGTTGCACCGTGGCCGTAAAACAATTCCACCAGCCGTGGAAACTGATCCTCACGTTCGGTCTTTTTGAAATTGAACAATACGGGAGTCCCTGGTTCTACGTCTAGATCACTTAAATCTCGGGAAAGGAACTCGCGTCACGATTCTATAAACAAACTGTAGAATACTACCATTTTTATGAGAATTCATTAAATCAGAAATAAAAGTTTTATCTGTTTACTTATCTTGGAAGCTTTTTTCTTAAATAATCAATTTTTAAATAATAAATTTATGTTTTTAGAACGTCAAATTTGGAGTATCTAAATAATTGTAAAAAGTTGTATTTGTTTAAAAAATATATTAAACATTAATTATAATTTTTCTATACTATTTGTTACGCTCTTATGAAAACTTGACAAAAGTGCTCTGAATCATGTTTTTTAGGAGTTTTAGGTATTAAATAAAGTATAAACACTGGTAAATATTTTGATAACTCACAGCGGGGTTAATAAATTTACAACTTTCAAAGTGTTAATCCATTTTTATATCAATTACGAATGTCCTTAATTAATAATCGAAACTAAAAGAAACAATGGAAAACGAGGATTGTGAAAAAAACGATGACCAGAACCATGTCATCAAGATCGAAATAAAATCTGATCGTTTTATTTCCACGACGTGAAAACGAAAATATTTTTCCGCTCATCGACCGTTTCCAGCAGGCCATCAAGTCGATACCGAAGGAAAACAATTTGTCAACGGGACGTTTCCGTCGTGATATCGAGCTTTCTTCCGACTTTCCCGACTTCTCGTTACCGTTTAAGCACACGATAATTTAATGTTATGAGTGCGACGCCCTCATATTTTATTCTCAGTGGAACGAGACCCGATCGTGTGATAAATACTCTGATCGTTGTTGAAAACCGATATTTACACCTAGCACCTTCTTAAATAGTACTTGCTTATGAATTATCGCGTCAACCCATATTTCATCCTTTGTGGAATCGTCTTTTCACGCTGCAATCGCAACCCCGCGTTTCACGAACAATTTTTAAACATAATCTCGCTCTAAATGTTCTTCATGAATGTTAAACGAGAACATTTTTGTGCATCGGTATCATCTGCTAACCTTAAAACATGGTAACATAAAAGTTTTACCAAACCTTAATAAACACATACATTATATACGTGTTATAATTGACAATAAAACTGTCAGTGAATAATTAAAATGTTAGTTAACCTTTTTTATTGGAAATTAGCATCTAAAATTGGAAATTTGCATAAATGTATATGCAATCTAGTTGCTACCATTTTGTTTCACAATTTTCCGCCATGTTCTAATACATTCGACTACAATATTTATATGCATATTGTAATACATACGTCATATTTGAAAAACAAATACTAACAACAATGGCGAATTAAATACGTGTTTTTCATTATAAATAAAACATTAAACAGTTTTACAATTTTTTACTGTGAAAATCTGATTTTTCAGTTAGCTCTCCTCTAAAAAAGGAACTGGAGTTACAAATTTCTCTTATTCAATATAACCGATCACTTCGTAAAGACATTTTTGTACCATTCATTCATTCTTGTTTTATTGAAGATGGAAAGCAACTTATTGCTAAATTCTTTTCCTATTCATTCGCTTTTTCTTAGGTGTATATACAAGGTAATTTATTTATCGAACGACCCACATTGCAAGAAATACTATACTTACGTCTCATCGATCTTACTGTCTGCACGTGAAATTATTGCGAAAAAGAAACGTGGAGAATAATTGTGGTGGGCTAGCTCGTTCATGCGTGAACGTTATGAACGTGAGAGCGCTTTTAGCTTCCGGTTCTAGAGGCGCGAATCTACGGCAGATAAAGTATGGAGGAATACCCGCACTGATATTTTCACATTTTAACCAGTCAGTTCTGGTGTAAATGATCTCGAAGCGTGAGGTAGAAGAAAAAATGTACCACTCGCATAATCACAGAAAATAATTAATGTTGTGATTAACATCTGTCAACGTTAATACAAGCAATGAACCGTGTTATATTGATACTATAACCGTGTCAACGAACCTTTGCATTTCTTTTATACGAAATAACATAATAATTTTTTATACATGAAACATTTTACAATTTTAACAAATATTTGTTGTAACTGGTTATCATTGTGCACGCTTTAAACTGAAAAGAAACAAAGAAATAATGAAATTCTTCATCGAAATCGAAATTCGACATTCCCGAAATACAAAATCAATTTTATCAAATTAATCGTGAATAATTATCTGAACCAACATTGTCAATCTACATTCACTACACGAGAGACCAAATTAGCAGTAAAACTACCGAGCATTTAATACGATTGATATGTAATCCCTATAAAAATTGTAACAACAGATTATTTTCGGTTTCTTCAGACATACATTACAGTATTCAAGTGAAACTACTTATTTTCAATAGCATTTCGAATATTCAATGTTTTGAAAAATTGAAATTCTTTTACAAGAACTTAAATTTAGTATGACATAGTACGTGAGAAAAATTTCTAAAATTATTAAAAATGATTTGCTACTAAGTAAATCTTAGTATGCATCATATTATATTATATCATATTATATTATATCATATTATATTATATTACATTATATTATATTACTAATTAGTTTCCAGTTTAATTGTAATTTTCGTATAAAACATAACTGGATTACTAATTGTAAGGTTGCATATGGTATTTACACCACTTTAACTGAAGACAGTTGACAAGATGTTCCTGTAACGTTCACAGCAATCCAGTTCACGTTTATTCCTAGTGTATCGTGAATCTTCGTATTTACGAAGGGACTTGCAGTACGAAATCACTCTAATCGGAGATAGTGCGGTCGCGTTACGGTGTTAAGACGCGAGAGGAGTAGCCGCTGGGTTCATCCGATCTACGGCGGACCGAGATCGACTAGTACCCCTTCTGTCTAGACGCGAACAGTTGAGTAGACGAGAACTAATGACTTCGGACAAATTAGTTGCTGCGGACAATGAAACATGAATTTAAATTCGAAGGAACTTCGTTCGAAATATTTGCACGTGAATTGCTGTAAAAGTTTCGAGGAAGAATTCGAAAAGCCACAAATAACTTTGAACTAATGGATGTATTGTTTTCCAAAATATTCTCCATCAATATGAATACATAAAAATGTGAAGATTTATGAAAATAACAAACGACTTATGTAGTATAGTAAAACTCCGATTATCTGAGTTAATTTGAATATTAACAGTTCAGATAAGTGAGAATTCAATAAGAAATGTTTCAAACGTATTTGTCAAATTCGATTGTTTATATTCTGAAATATATATTCTAAGAATTTGAATGATTGAAATTATAGATAATCAAAGTTCTGAATGATCTAGATACAAAATAATGACAAAGTTAATCGAGGTTCTACTGTACTGTCGAAAAGTTTGTGATCATCATTTTAATGGCAAGGAGAGTTGGCCTTAGTAAAAGAAACACGAATGAATGTGCAAACTTTCACATAATAATTCAAGTTAATACATGTAACTGCGGGAAAGCGATAAGGTTAGAATCACTTATCTATATTTGGCTAAAGTTATCGCTTTCGAGACGATTTTACGTCCCTTTCGTCGAAGTAACTTCCCTTCTTCTTAATGAGGATTTTATCATGGAAAACTAATTACCCAAGGAGGAGACGAAGCACTAGGGCCCCTTGCGGTGCAATAAAGTAATTTCAAAGGGTAAAACCACATGATCCGTAAAACCTCTCGGGGTTGTATGAATTGATAAAGGATTGGTGACACGTTTTTGTCCGATGTGATAACAGGCACTCGAAACAATAAAATAGAAACAAATCTTAATTGAGCCAAATAAATCAAAAATTCAAATAAATTAAAATCTTGATTCGAATCCAATATTAAATCTAATTTAAATTCGAATCTCGTCGATGAATCGATATATGCACCAAATTTGTATTTTTCATTCCTATTTCATTTCTTTACACAAAAATCGATTTCAAAATAAAACTGATAAATATTTTATTAATAGAATAAAACTATAAATTTCTGTAAAAATTCATTTCCTGTGAAACGATATTTTTAGCATTTGAAATCTTTAGTAACTTCGTTTTCAATCGTACAATTTTCGCTCAGCGATAACTGTGATTTTTGCTTTGCCGAATATTTCCACGCACGAAAATATTATCTGACGCGAGGAACAAAAATTACTTTTCGCAGATGAACACGATCCACCCCGAACAATCTATTTTAGCAAATACTATCGACAGACTCCAAAGTCCACATATCGTTCCCCGGTTGAATGCACATCGAGTCGTATCATAGTATTCTACCAACTGCCGGTGGAAGTTTAAACTAATACTACTATCGAACCAATCAAGCGGTCTAGAGAAATTCTCTGTCTTCATTGGCAGAGGGAAAGCTTGATTGGAATCTTTGGGACTGCCAATTAAAGTGCACAAAGTCAACCTCGATGGAAATGACTAGACTGCAGACTTCTATGCAAAATAAAGTCTTGGCACAGTTCACAGAGACTGGAGCTTTACGAAAGTATTATTTTCTTTGTTAATCATTTTAACGTAATAGCACTGAACTAGTAACATTTAATTTATCTGTATTTTGTATCCCTTTTCGGAGTATTCTTTTTCGGACACAAAAAAATGTAGTAGGTTTTACAATTCTTTGAAAATTTGTAATATAGCTGTAACCAAATAAAGTTGCAACAGTAAAAACAATATTCCTAATACTCCTTTAATTGTAATATGTATATTCCTTTTAATGGTTGGTACTTTCAGATAATGAAACAAGACGGAGGAAAAATGAAGATAGTGAACAATATACTTCACGGTCCGCCATATCAACCCAGCCCTGATATTTCAATCCAAGAACACTTACACAATGTTGTTCGTAAAAATCTCGATGCCACTGCGTTGGTAAGTTTTATATTGTTGGGATCATTTAAAATTATTGAATAATTCGAAAATAATCACGGAAGAACTTGTACATAGATATTTATTTTCGTTCAACTCTGATTAACCAGAAAAGATATATATAAGTTCAATCGAAAAAAATCAATCGGTTTAAATTGCTTACAACCATTTGCATAATACCTTCCAAATAAATGTTATAATCAAACAGCATTGCTTTATAAAAATTGAGTATTAACTTCTATTTCACTGAATTAATATTCATATATTTTATTAATAATATTTTGAAGTGCTGTAAAAGTTTTTTTTTACTTAATATAATTTAATCCATTCAAATTTTCATTCCAAATGTGAATATTGCATTTTATTGCCGATGTTTTCAGGTAGACATCGAGACTGGGTTATCCTACACGTACAGATATATTTTCGAAGCAAGCGTGAAGCTCACTTACGCTTTAAAAAGTTACGGAATCGATCCGGATGACAGAATCTCCATTGCTAGCGAGAATCATCCGAATTATCCGATAGTGATGTGGGCGGTTTTCAATACTAAAGCTGTGTTCGCACCCTTGAATCCGGCTTACACAGAAGGTAAATGTTATTCGCACAGAAAAAAATATAATACACACAAATATAACATTATAAAGCTTTGATTATCTTATTTGTTGCTCGATGATACGATACATAAGACTGTAAAATGATTTGCATTAACTTTTACAAATCATTATACCTGTGAACGTTATAACTGTAAACATTTTAAAGATAAAATCTTAAAATCTTGAAAAATAAGATTTAATTGACTAGTAAAGCTAAAATATTATATAGTTACTATTAAAATATAATTATAATTAACTATTATAATTACTAGTAATAATTACAAATATTGTAATTATGTACAGTCAGCAACGAAACTATTTGAACATGGTAAGAAACATGTCATTAATAGAATTGTACACCGTATATTGTTATTTATTGAAATAAATTGCATTCGTGACATACAGATGCAATAAAATTTTTTAAATATTCAGCAATATGCAAAGAAATTATGAAACATTTATTGTATCTAAGGATGCGAAACATTCGAATACTTTTGTCACTGACTATAATTGTAAGTTAACAAATAATTTCAAATTATATTACTCATAGTAATCTTTCTCATGAAGATAATTCATTTACAATGATAATGGCAACATATTTTTTTTATTCAGTGGAATACAAACACATGTTGGGAATCTATGAACCGCGACTGATATTCGTATCGCGGAAATGCGAGCCGCTTATGACGAAAATCGCGTCCACTGTCCTTTGGAAGATGTCGTTGATACAGTTGGACGATGAAGCAATTAACAAGGACATCCCAACTCTAAAACAACTTCTGGAGAAATATGATGGCTTGATAGATCCGTACAGCTTCGTGCCGACACCGAACACCGACAACAGCAAGAAAATGGCGGTCATTATATGTTCGAGCGGGACAACAGGTTTCCCGAAAGGCGTAACACTGTCTCATCGGAATTTAATAATTTTCATGAATAAATTCATGTAAATAAAGTTACTTCACGTACAACAGAATTACGGGGAATGTTTAACATTTAATTATCGGAGAATACAAAATCGTTATAAAATACTCCGATAAAGAATATTAATGTTATCTTAAAAATCGAAAGTCGATGTTAAAGCTCGTAAAAATCACTATGACTGTTTAAAATCTTAAAAATCTGTAAATGCACAAAACGTACAACATTAATGAGAAATTTTTGTGAACTTTATTCTTATAGAAAATCGTAAACGTTAATATTCGTTGTTATAAGTGGTTTGGCAAACAGAATTCAAAACTCGTAGAAGAGTTCGTTAGGTTCATTAATAGACAGTACGGTTATTGAATAGTGCAATATTTTTATTGATTACAGACAACCTGAATTGTTTGATTATCGAAAAGGCGACCGAATGTTGAACTTTCTGCCACTGTTCCATGGATATTCATTAAGTTTGGTGTTTATGACAATGACTACCTCAGCAACTATATATATAATGCGAAGGTTTAATATAGACATAGTTTTGCAGTCAATCGAGAAATATAGACTCACTCATTTGCCGTTGGTGCCTCCAGTTCTGGTGCTTTTCGGGAAGCATCCAGGATTAAGTAAGTACGACTTCAGCAGCGTTAGAGAAATTCTATGTGGAGCAGCACCACTTCCAAAGGACGTAAGTTTTTCTATTAGCATGTTTTTTTAGTTGCCATAAGCATTCGATATATATTTCATTTATTTTTATTTATTTCAATATACGACTAATGCAAAAAGAACAAAAACTGATTTAAAAAAAAGAGGCAGGGCATAGTTGAAAAAATTTAATTTAATGAAATGAAATGTCTTTGAGATTATTTCTAATAATAGAAAAATTTTGGATCGTATATAAGAGTGACGTTACAAAAAATAAAAATTTAAACGTTTGTTGTTATTTATTTCTAAACAAATGTCTAAATATATTTCACAACGAACACCGACGTGAATTATTAAACTTATAAAGAATTATTTCAAGTATGTCGTTGTTATTTGAATACAAATTTCAAACATTACAAATAATATTACGAGAAGTGTGTCCAGATCCAGTCGACAAGTAAATTTAATATTCCTTAGTCTCGCAGAACAGTGTTTATCAACTACCACGGACCTGTGACGGTTCTAGAACAAATTTTACAAGCTCCAAAAAAATATCTATATATATAAAAAAAATTATATATAATTATAAACAGTTACAATAAATATATATAATATTATAGAAAATTTGAAGATGATATATTGCACAGAACGCGCATGATAGAAGAAAATGTATAAAACATTCAAAGTGTAATATTTTATATATTATTTGTTAAAAAAAACAATTATTGTAGTTTTATTTATTTTCCGAAACATTTGAATTTATAAAAAGACCCAGGATCTACTTATAATAACAACAACAATGTTACAATGCACAAACATAAATATACATAAACTCGTTGTCCACATAATACATTAATCCCTTGCCTAATAACAACATATCAGACTCCCGGCGATTCTAAATAGAATTCAATCATCATAAATCAATTCTTTCGAGTTCAAATGAAACATTACTCTCCTATTACAAATTATTACACTTTGCAGCAAACATGTACCTTACATGCCTGAAATTTTACTCATTCTTCTAATAAATTATTCCTCAAAAAGTAGTTGCATCGATCATAATTAAGAAATAAATAAATAGCAGGAAAGGTAATAATGAAATAAATTAGAAATAAATCATAGGCAAGGGGTTAATACCAAATCGTCCAAAAATATACATTTTCCAATCCACAATAAAAGCAAGGTTGAGAAACACTGACGTAGAATGAAACGTGCAGGCAGAAAATCAAGGACTTTCCCAGCGCTTAAACAACAAATTCTTCAGATAGCGGATGAGGTGACGAGGCGATTGGGATGCAGAGGGATCCGTAACGGTTACGGTATGACAGAATTAACGATTGTCACGAACCTGAGCAGGAAGGACTGCGATAAATATGACGGAAACGTGGGTCCCGTGATACCCGGCATGCTCTGCAAGACAGTGGATCCAGATACGGGCGAGACACTGCCACCAGGTCAGGTCGGTGAAATTTGTATGAAATCTGATCAGGTGATGCTCGGCTACTTCAGAAACCCGAAAGCCACCGCGGAAACAATTGACAAGGACCAGTGGCTGCACACCGGTGATCTGGGATATTTTAACACGGACGGGATATTGTACATCTCGGGACGTCTGAAGGAAGTTATCAAATACAAGGGCTTCCAAGTATCGCCGTCCGAGATTGAAACACTGATACAATCGCACCCCGACGTTAAAGACGCAGCGATCATCGGGAAACCGGACGAAGAATGTGGAGAGGTGCCAATGGCTTTCGTCGTGCGAAAATCGGACAGCAAAGTATCGTCCGAGGACATTTCCAATTTCATCAAAAGTAATATCTTTTATTCTTGGTTCGTTAGATTTTTTTTTGAAAATTCAAGTTTTAATCTGGGGCATTTTGGAAATACTTTCGATACGTGTTTCTTTTGGGCGAGAGTTTTCAACTGATTTCACTTGACCATATTCTTCACGGTTAATGTTCATTATTTTGTAAAAAAAAATGTCGATGATATTGTTTACTACTAACAGTAATGAAAATTTTGCTGAAAGTAAAGGAGAGAGCTAGTTGATTTCATTTAATTTTGAATTCTACAATTTTGTTGGAGTAAGTTAGATGACTGAATTGTCTCTTGAGTCAGACGGTTAATATTGTCATTATGTTTGGAAGGCATATTCGATTTGTTGTTGATAAGTATTGATTTTTATAAATGAGTTTTTCTATATAATTAATTTCGATTTTAACGTACTTTTATAGAAAACCTGTCGCCGCAGAAATGGTTGAGGGGAGGTGTACATTTCATTGAAGCCATACCCAAAACTCCGTCGGGTAAGATCGTGCGACGAGAGTTGCATAGTATGATATCTAAATTATAAAATAATTGTATAATTTTTATCATTTCGATGTGCGTTCAATTGAAGCATTTTTGTGTATATTTATATTACGTGAGAATAAATGGATAGTTACATTTTTTGTTCGTGAAGTTCAAATATATTTGTCAAATCCACACAGCTCCCTTAAAGTTTCAAATAAGAAGGTAATTTCTAGGTTAAAACACTTTATAAAAATTACAAACGAAAATGTTCTATGATTTTACGTTATATTTTTTTAAATATTAGTAATTGGACGTAATATGGTTGTAAGGGAGAAATGTTTTAATATCATATAACTAAAAAAAATAAAAGAATAAAAGTATGACGAGTGAAGGTTATCATCGACAAGTAATCGATAATTGCCAGGCCTCTTAGGGCACCAGTCAGAACGATCATGTTATCTTCGTTAACGAAAATGTGGGATAGGAATTCCTAGCAGCTTTACCGGATCAACGGAATTAACGGTATCCGGTATTGGAAAAATTTAAATTCACACCTAGCGACTCTGCCATGAGACCGCCTAACTGCATGAGCGTAGTACGTGTGCTTTTACATAAGGTGTCCCGCGAGTCCTCGCTGAACTGATAAATTGAACAGTATATATTGCCACACATGACACAACATAATTTTAAATGTACATATATTACAGGTAATATATAGTCACTGTCATATTCCATATTACATTTGTTTAAAATTTCAATAATTTAGCATCTACAATTAAGCAAATTGTGCTTTTCATATTTCCTATTTAAAAATATAACATTTTCTTTTAAAATTTATTTTATATTAAAACACACTATATTCTGGTAATTTCTTGTATATTCGTTAGAAAATTTAATACTTACATATAATCATTGGTTTTATCATTGGTTTGTAAATACTGTAGAAACAAATTTTTATAAACTTGAGCGAAATTTGAAGAAAGAAATAACTTTTATTATTTAATCATAATGTAATTAAGTTGTAGACTACATATACAAATAGAGAATACACGTCAATCATAATTCGTGAGAAAATAAATGCTACCACTAATGATATTTTTAAATATGTTCGAACAAAGTTTGTTTGGGATAGAAATCGAGTACAGTGACAGGTGATTTACGATACACCTTGTACATGAAACAGTTCTCTGAGCGTATACATATCTATCACCGGTTATATATGTACGTGTCTATGGCTGGTGTTCCTGTTAATTTCATTACGACGATCACCCTGACAAATCTAATTGACGTGCATCAATTATTTGCCGGACGAAGGCCGCTTAACTCCCTTTCCAGTTTCCGGCAGGCATGGTTTCCGAATAATTTCATTTTTCACGATACCTTTTATCGATGGAATTCCACTGACCGTCATGGAGTTATATCGGTCATCCTTTCTAAACCCCTGACATATTTGATTGTTTAATCCTTCAAGCAAGTCGTTAATAATCTATATTATTTTAGGCTCCCCTGCATTTCAAATATAAAATTAAAAAACCAATATGATTTCTCAGTGTGCTATATACAAAACATGAACAAATTAATGATCACTAGAGACTGTGAATGTTTATAGAAGTATACACAAAATTTTATAAATTAATTTAGAAGAATTGGATTGATAAAAGAATCTTTAACTTCTGTTTTACTGTTTTTGTTTTAAAGGAAATGAAAATTTCATTAAACATTATTAAGAAGTTCATCACACTGAGTTTTAAATGATGAATTATAATATTAAAAATTAATTTGAAGTTATTCTTTCAATCATCGTAAGAATGTAAATCTAACAAATATTTATTTTTTGATCAGTGATAAAAGAAATATAAAATATTTTTTAATTTTTTTTAACGATATAATTATGCTACACGAACTTAGGATGGGACTTCCAAGAGGAAAAGGAAGTTTTTGAAGATAAAAGAGGGTTTCATAAACAAAATTCGAAAAATGTTCTAAATTCTAAAAATCTCATCAGAAACGATTCCCTGAACACGTCGCATACCTTCTGCATCATTCCGAAATTTGTGTGACCGCCGGCTGTCACCGTAGACCAGTGATGCACAATCTTTAATGCATAAAGAGGCTCATGCAACAACGTTGCATGCTATCTCTCCCCCTTAACTAAATACCTAACTGATGAGAAAAGAAAAATATATATACATATATACATAGTTCTAATTGAGTTTTTATTTTATAAATAATATAATATGAAACCTACTGTTTCTCAATTACAACAAATAAGCAATCTAAAATTGAATTTACCAAAACGTATCCACAATGATCTATCCGTTGCAAAAAAATATACAAATTATTCCCAAGCGTAAAGCATTAACAGCAGGCATTGAAAATTTTCCGAAAGTAACTATCTGAAACGAATATATATCAGTTTCAACTAAAACAATCATAGAGAATTGAAATAAAGTCATAACTGTTCCAAGAAACGAAGCCGACGTGATAACTACATTGAACCGCTGGTTAAAGGTTAAAAAGAGGCCGCGGGTTGCGCGTCACTGTCGTAGACGGTGTCCAAGCGTACAGAGCGTACAAAAGGAATTTTCGTGCGCGATTGAAATGGACAGGGCGAATCGATTCGATCGGGTCCGATGGATCCTCGAAAGTTGGCGATGTTCGTTCGCGAGTCACTCGTCCAGGGGGTGGGTAGCTGATCGGTGCGCGGGCCACGGCGGGCCAGATGCCGTGGCTGGAACCGGAAGAGCAGAAAACGGACAGAAACGATGCAGTTGGCCGCAACGGCCGATAGAATAGTGAAGCAGCGGCATAACGCGCATAATAACGCGCGCTCGAGGCCTTTCGCAAAATGAGATACGGGGGGTAGGCAGCGTCGAGGGAAGAAGTGAGACGGAGCCGGTCAGATAGACGGGAACGGATAGACGTGAGGGCGGCCGGGAACGGGGCGCGCCTATCACTCGGGGAGATCCAATACAATGCGAACTATTGTACCCACGTTCGCCATCCACTCCAATTCCTAGGGTGGAGATATGCGGCCTAGCTCGATCCTGCACTCGCCGCGCGCCCCTCGCTGCATATACGCGAGTGTATTGGAACGTTGCACACGCGGGTGACGATGTGTGCCTCCGCGACGTGAAACGCCGCAAGGAGCCAAGGCCACTTTCGACGGGGACCGAAGAAGAGATTGTTCGACACCGGCCCGTTGACAAACGAGACGCTTTATCGTATGGGTGAGGGGTGGCCACTGTTCAGGGGAGAATCTGTGACAACGATTTTAATGTCAGATGATGTGATTTTTCGAATAGAAATGAATTCTCTTGGTGTACATGTTGGATTAGTATGTTGGAGGATGCTTGAGTCTTTAGAGGTTTGAAGTTTAACCTTGGAGACTGAAATTTGAAAGCTTAGAGTTCTATGAAAGGTGAATCTTCGAAGCATCAGGGTTCAACATTAAAGGCTGATACTTGAAGGAGTAGAGTTCTATGAAGCTCGAGTCTTTGAAGCTTCGAGGGTCAACCTTGAAACTTTAGAAACTGGATCTGAGTTTTAAGAGTTTTCAACCCTCGCGACTTTATGCTCGAGGAATCAGACCGCCTGTTGCTATATTAACAGCGTAGAGTTTTAAGCCTCTGAGCATAAAGACTAGAAACTCAGCTCTCAATTTTACAATGTTAATTGATTGCATACCTTATTCAACAGGACAAGATAGTAGACATAAAAACGTTTATGTTTATATTCATCACTTGAGAAGTTCATTTCACAATCAAATCACTTCACACAACATTTATATTTATGCACTTTACATTTTGTGCTTTGAAGACACTGTTCCAAGCTAACGTCGAGCATTGAAATCTCCACGTTTCAAGATAGTGTTACTGTTATCTCTATAGCTGTTCTCTTATCTTTGTTATCTAAAGAAAATGCATCGAAATTGCAACAGAACGAGAATAAAATCTTGATTCATAAAAACTTATTACAAAAGAAACGATAAAGGTTCATCATTATAAAAAGGTTTTTGTAGTATATGGAAACGCCATTAAAGAGACATTTTCAGAAATACAATCGAGGTGCGTTAATTTTTATTATAGCATACCTTTAGCGTGTTGTTTCAAATTATTTGTAATGATCTATTGTAAATAGACAAAATTTAAATAATTTATATGCTACAAATATAATTATAGAATTTGTAATTCTATAAATATTTGTAATATTTGTAATATTAATATGAAGAAAGTATTAATCAGAAACAATTGAAGATGGTATTCCTTACGAAAAATTACAAGTAAAAAGGAAACCTAAACCATGAAATGAACAAGAAATAGTAAAACAGTTGCAGAAATTATAGAATATAGAAATGATAAGGATAAAGGAATTTCGTTTTCTACTGGGTAACGCGTTAATTATGAAGAAATAAGAAATCAGAAAGAAAATACAAGACAAAGACAGTACACGAAGTTAAACAGATCGAAGCTGTAGCGGGAGGGGCGCAAATGAAAAGAGAGAAGGTAGAAGTGAGGTAGGAAGGGAACAGGCGTTTACGTGCGGCAGACATCTCATGATGCATAGTTGCTGTTGACATGCTGGAACGTCAGGCTCACATGACCTCTCGAGCACAGCTATTATCCGCAAAGCGACCCCTGAATTGGGACAATAACTGCTTCATGGAGTCGTGTAATAATTATTGGTCGGTTTTCAGGTCCACCCTTCCTGCCCCTGTTAGTTTTTAACGCAAACATTTTACAATGTTAACCATCTAATAGTGCCTGAATAATTTAAAAGACTGCCTTCAAAGTATCACAATCTGCTGCTTTACATTTAATATTACTAAAATCAAACAAGATTAATTTTTGTCATACGCAACCCTATGTGTAAAACGACTTTAAAGAGCAGACAAAATTGATTTTAATTGAAATTGCAATTATGTACGCTAATTCGAACAAAAATTATGAACCGCGAAATGCCCATTATTGCTGGCGGGTGACAGAGATCAGCTCAGCAAATAACTATAACCAATTCTACAACTACTATTTCTACAATAACAGTGATCCTAAGTAAACTAGTAACAAACTAGTAGCATAAAATGGCGCTCTATCTACTCGCTAGTTCGCTAAGTTCGCTTTTGTTCGGCACCGTTCACTGCTGCTCGCCATAGCATGTATGGACTCGGTAGCGTTTGTCATTGCTTGCTGCTACTCCTCAGTACTGCCCATAATTTACCACAACTCGTTTGCTCTACATATGTATTAGCTTAATTATTTGAGTGCCAACTGAATGTAAAAAATTAGAAAATTAAACTGAACGTATTAATACGATTAATATACCCATATATTCTGGACCACCTTATTTAATAGTCGTATTCAATAGTACACAAAGAGTAATTTATCTTCTTGCGATAAGGTAATAAATGAAAATATATATTATCTCTGTAATTAGCAATTTAAAGTGGTGTAATTACCTGTTAACATATTTTAGAATTCCAAAGAAATCGATAGCATCCGATCCTTGCGAAGTGCATCATTCTCGACAAGCACACGGATCGCGTATTACGACCGTTTTCCAATCAGTAAGCTCGCTCATTGATGGTCTAATTAAACCTATTCCCTATCCACCAACATTCCCGACATTCCACGTGTAATCGGTTTAATCATTTATGCGCTACGCTATACGTTGCTTAATTCTAAGCGAATCCTTCAACTTGTGTATCGCAATGCACGTCCCACGAATATAAATCTCCCGCAGTTATTTATGTATTTCATGAATATGCAGGTCTTCCGGAACAGACTAATGAACTACTGCGACGCAACAGTATACGCTACAGTACTTATTTAAGCAGTTTGAACATTAATTAATTGGAGAAAAATGCAGAAATTATACACCTCTTGCCTGAGCAACCAGGTCTCGATAACTATTATATATACAGAACTCCACCATTTTTCAATTTCAGCATAAATTTTAATAAGATACGTACGATTAATAAATAATTGATGTTTAAGATCTGATAAGTCCAAGGTTATACATGTACAGAAAAATATTGCACACCAATGCAGAACATTTTCATAATCAAGTTGAAATATTTGTATGACAGATTTAAGGGAAGTTTAAAAAGGATTAAAAAATTATTCGTTACAAAATTATGCAAGCAAAGTATAAAACTTCAGACGTTTCATTCGACATTTTGTTGTTAATTAAATGAGAATTATTTTAAAACAGTATGAAGATATTAGTGTGTCGAGAACGAGGAAAAACTTACGTAGCCCTTCTGACGTCAGCAAAACATAAATAGAAAATAATACGCACGTGTGATTCCCAAGAATCCTTTCGACACAGATAACACCTTATCAGTGCATTGATAAATGCGTACCCACTGACAACTGCGAATTTCCACATATCGTTTATTAGAACTCATTTCTATTCACTTGCATGTCACTATGGGAAATTCACCTTCATTTCGTGACATTCTTAACGAAGAAACAATTGCTCTTTACACCGAATTAACGTACCTGAGTAAAAGTAAAATACTACGGTAGGTAATTTAACGAAATTTTCCATAGATTTTATCTACGTTTTCTTCAAACTTCTGCCTTCAGAAAGCAAATAAACTAAACTTAGTGCAAATGTCTTAATAAACATGTAATAATAATTCACAATTAACATAATTTTAGTTTTTATCAATGAAAACTTTGCATATTTTTAATGTAAATATAAATGGAAAATTATTTCGAAGTGTTATTAACTGAAAATTGATAGTTTAACCTATTAAATACATTTACACCTCGATTCGTTGTCCTAAATGTTAATTTAGTGGACCTAATTTGGTGATCTAATATACTTGAATGTATTTTAACCAAGTTTTTTCAATTAATTTCGATAACAATTCATAATTAGTAATTTGTGCCACCAAATTACTATCAGTAAGAGAATCAAGGTTTACTGGCATTGTTTCATCATGCCACGTGTATATACGTAGCTGTAGCTGACATTTCCTCAATAATCTTGTGGCCATGCTTCTAGATTGCTAAACAGGATACGGGAGGCTTTTTGAAGCTCTGTGAATCTTTCAACTACGTTATAGAAAAGTCAGTCTTCGAACGGTAGATAAATCAATGTATAACACTATTGACTGCATTTATTTTATTTGGAAATGTGAAAATCATTGAAACAATTATCTAAAATAGAACCTGAATTACCAGACTTTTAAATTACCTGCTACAAAACTAGTACACCATTAAAGTGTGTAATTCACGAAACGAAAAAAAGATTTTGTTTAATATTTAATTAACCACAATATCACTTTAAACATTCAAATCTGTTTCCAGCATTGTCAAGCTTCTTGATGATTTAGATCCTGGGAAACTACGTGACAATCTGCACCATCGTTTCAGCTCGGAACAGATAGACAAAGCATTGCCACAGATTCAAGTAAGTAAATTACTCCTCGAATTGCTGCGTATTGATTAGCGAAATATGAAATAGGATTCGACAAATTATGAAATATTTCCAAAAAGCACTGCTTCAGTAATATTTTAAATTGATACTTATTATCTGATTAAAAAGGAACATATTTTTCCTTTAAAATTGTCATAATTCTTCTGCTTCATTAGATCTAAATTTTGGTACTATTTTATACTAGTGTAGCCCATTTCGTGACTCAATATATCGAGTGTTCTCTTCCAAACATGACGATCATTTAAGCCTCGAAGATGTTTTGGATTTATACTCGGCTTTTTCCGAAGATACTCCCACTTTCGTTCGAGCGACTTGGTCCTTTTACATTTTCGGTAAGAAATCAAGTTAACACGAACAATCAAACAGTAAAATTTATTGCTATAACACTATAATTTTAAAAGTTTTGCGCTCTGCTAAATTAATTGCAAATTAATGTATAAATTCATTCAATTTAGATAAATTCAACATTCTGTTATCTAATAAGTGTTTCGAATGCATACACTCGCATTGTGTATAAACAATAGCATTATCAATACTGTTATTTTCAGACTTGGATGGCGACCATCAAATTTCAGTAGATGATTTGATTGAGGTCATACGGAGACTGTCAGGAAGCAAGTTAGACAGTCATCTAGGCATTGACACGCAAGAGGCCGAAGACATTGCACGAATGGTAGGTCTTCATAATTCAAAGTGGTTTATATCATCTTTTTTCTTTGTTTTCATATTTCAATAAACAAGAGAAAGTCTATATAATCATTATTGAGCAATATTTTGTTAATAACTGTCTTTCCAACATTAGGTACTTCAAGAAATGGTCTTTAGTCGGGTGGGAACCATTTCATATGAAGAATTTATACGATTTTCGACAAGGATACCAGGTGTTTTCTCTTCATTTTATTTTCGAATTTAATTACAATAATAATTATGCATACATTTTTGTATATACAGAATTATAGTTATATAAATTTAATATAATAATGATAGTCAATAGATAAATGAAATAGGAGATAAATAAATGAAAATATTCTCGAATTACAATGATTACTGAAAATTACATGAAGACTTTTCTAAACAAAACAATATTATTATAGTTAATATATATGAAGTTGTAAACTATAAAATAAATAAAAAGAATAGAATTCTTTATTCCTGTTCTGTATTACTTTTTATTTCTACATGTTATCGTTTATAAGCGAAACAACTTGATTGATTGTAAACGCCAGTAAGGGATGAGTGTGGTATATAAGGGGTTTGTCTTCGTCTCTGATACGTAAGGGGTAACACTGGGGGTGTTTTATATTCAACGTAATTTTGGGGATATTTAGAGAAATAGGACGTTGTCATTCCTGCCGCGCATTGGTATTTGTACTCATCCGACTTGAAAAATGATAAAGGATGGAGAGTACCGGTATGATCTTTATATTGGCTGCGATGAATTTGTACTCCCTGAAAGGAAATGCATTTATATTGTTATTTATATCATTTAATTCAGAATAAAATGTAGATAATTTCAAATTATCATGAAAGTTTTCCAGAAAATTATTTTTTCTATATTATTATATACACAAAAGGTACGATCTTTTAAAACTGTATTTTTATTTTTATTTTTAATAGTTTAAACTTTTCGCCAGAAAAAGCCAGAAATCTATATTCTAATAGATACAGAAGATGCGTTTTTATTTAATAGAAGTTGCATTTCAAAAATGACGAATGCATATTGGTACGACTACGTAGGTTTACGATACGTCAATCGCTACTGGTGATTGAAGAGCAAGCTACAAGCAGAATATGTGTCCTGTAAAAAGTCGCTGACTGATTGCATTTCAAAACTTTTTTTTCTCGTTTAACAAGAAATTCACTATGTTCCATTATCTAGACATTTTTCTGGAACAAATGCAGCAAAGATTAAATAGAAATACAGGATCAAATATGAAACACATAGTATCACTTGAGCATCAGTGACTCTTTTTTCATTTTTTTTATTATTAACATAAAGAAATTGGAATTTGAAAAAACATTCAATACAAAAATTTCCTCGTATAAGTGAAATGAAAATAATATTTTTTTAATTATTACTTTAAAAAGATCATCAACTTCCTTCATTCGTGATGCGTCAATTGTTGAAATATTGTTTGACAGTATCTTTAATTGGCGATTTATATTTCGGCGGGTATTAACTGCGACATTATCGGATTTTGAACTGCTCGGTATACTTTGCATGCCCCATGTGTATGGTGGCATCCTCTGCAATTTATAACAAATAAGAATTGCTTTTTTATTGGATTAAGCATTGGATCTCTTTTTTTTAATTAACCGAAGTAATATCAATTATGTTTATTATTAAAGTTAATGACTAGAGAGGAACTGTCTAAACAATTGTAGATTAAAAACTGCTACCGAAAATTCCGGGGTTTCGTGTTTATAATATTGTAAGTATTTGATAGTCCCTCCATCATATGAAGAGCTACTAAATTTCGTTGAGTTTCCCATCACAATTTAAATCTTCTCGCTGTATGCACTAAATGAACAAGTAATTTATTTTTTTTTAACTTATTTCCTTATTTAAAAGGTTATACATCGTAATCAATTTTTTCCCAACTAAATAGGACAAAAGAACGAAGGTTTTATTTTGATGCATTCGCAATATCAATAATGCGAACAATATTCATAAACATTTTCACTGGTGTGCAACTATGTAAACTATATAATTTCCTTGTAATATATTAGACCATTTACTAGAAAAATATTCTAAAAGGCTGGCAACTAATAAAAGAAATCGCATCAATTTTGTTAACATAACTTTTATTACACTGCGTATATACAATAACAATAGCGATAACAATAAAAGTAGTAACAATAACAATAACAATAATCAAAAATCACTTAACGTAACAACGATCTAATTCTGAAATAACATACTTTATCTTTCGAGTAGCTAACTTTAATTGCGAATCCATAATTTCATGGTAAAATACAAATCTAACATCTGAATCACTTAGAGCTGCACATTTAACAATTATTTTGTCGTCGTCGTCGTCATTAACAATTTCTTGTAAGCGACTAACAAATTTCCTTGCTGAAACTACGTTGGCATCAACTTTGACAAAAACAATATTCGTGTGTACCATATCTAAATCAACAGAAAATATCGGTGACTGGATATCGTTAATTGAAGTAGCAAAAGAGAAAGCTCTTTTATGATCTTCTTTCAAAATTGATATATTTTCCTCTAAAGCCACAAGTCCAGCTGCGGCAAGAATACCGACTTGTCTCATTCCACCGCCTAGTACTTTCCGCAATCTTCTTGCATTAATCACAAACTCTTTGCTTCCACAAAGAAGAGAACCTACAGGAGCACCTAAATCAAGATAATTATCTTTTAAAGAGAAGTCATTGGTATAAGTATGTGGCTGATATAAATCTTAAGTTAACCTTATAATAAAACGTTAAATGAATCAACAGTAAATGAAATGCTTGAACTGACATTGCAATTATATCATTTTAAACATATTAACGTCTGCTAAAAATCTTTGCAATGATAAGAAAATTTGACAAAGAGAAGTATACCTAGGTTTTTGCTGATACAAAAAGATACAGAATCGAAACCAGCAACGATATCCTTAGCAGATTTTCCGGATCCAACACTCGCGTTCCATAATCTTGCTCCGTCCATATGTAATTGTAAGTTATGTTTTTTACAAAAAGCCACTAATTCTTTAATCCAACTTAGTGGAATAATTTTTCCATTAAATGTATTCTCCACTATTACTAATTTTGAAATTGGCTCATGATCTCTATCTTTCCGGAGTTTAGATTGTAATTCGCAAATACTAAACGTGCCATCAGGATTGTTCCGTAAAGATCGAAGATTTACTCCCGCGAGTTGAGCGGCACCACATTGTTCATGTAGCAAAACATGACTGCTATCGCCACAATATGCCTCACTTCCTCGGACATTACAGTGGTTCATAACTTGAGTGTAACAAAATAATTTCATTAAACAGGTTTTATTAAAGTCTCTGTAAATCATAGTATTATAAAGCCTAAAATTGCTACGTATGATATTATATTTCTTCCTTACTTTAAATATTTTCAATTAAAGTACATTATACTTACTGGCAATTAAATTACTCATAGTTCCAGAAGGTACAAATATTGCTGCATCCATTCCAACCATTTCAGCTGCTTTTTCTTCTAATTCTATAAATTAAAAATTTAATAAAGTATTAATTAAGTTTGAGTTCAGTTATGTCAAATACACAATGTTATAAACCATTCGGTTGCATACAGTTCATAATCCAATATGTAACTCTCTGAAGCAACTTTTGTTTCAAACATTCTTTATGCAGTAACTAATTAAATTCCCTAACCCGTATACGATTAATGTAAGAAAACCTTTATTAGTATGACATAGAATAATAAATAAATGGTATTAAGATAATACTTTTAACAGTTGGATCTTCACAGAAAACATCATCACCAACTTCAGCATTAAATATTGCTTCCCTCATTCTCTTAGTTGGCTTTGTTAGAGTGTCACTTCGAAGATCCACAACATGTTCCTGCAAAAACATATTTTATATATTTTTAGAATTGCCAAATAATATTAATTATCACTGATTAACTTTAGTTACTTAAAATATCAGTTTTGCATGGATTATAACTTGCAATAGTTATAATTACAAAAAAATTTCGAAAAATTATTTTCTCAGCAAAAAATTCAAATTCAACGTCAGAATTTATAAAATAAAGGTAAATTGAATTCGTCTTAATAACGACTACAAAGTATGCAATCCAACATATGACATGCATTTTAAAAAATCAAGGTCACCTCGAAGTTTTGTTGAAGTTACTGAATGAAATCATTTCTTGGAAATTCTTTTATTGCAAATAATAACCCATTGAAAATTGATTAATTTTTACTCAGGACATTGTTTTGTACAATGACCGAAAATGTCGAAAAACTCATTATAAGACCGATAAATGATACACACTGTATACTTACATTTATATTATTATTGATAGAATTTGAACTGCAGTTTACGTAATACATATTCGATTTACACAGCTCTCACTATAAAATATATTTAAAAAATTTCACTGTTAGTTAGAATAGAGACAGACGACAAGAATAACCCTTATGCCACCAGTGTCAGATGTCTAATACTCTACTCTATTTTTAAAAACCTTATCGTTACTTCGACTGCAATTATTGCATTTGCAAGTCAAATTAGATGACAAAGCATTACAAAGTGCCAAGGAAGTTTCAGAGTTGTGAAGCAAAATGAATAGATCACTTAACCTTTGACCGGTTCCTTATTTAACCATCCGCCGACAATATATGTTTTCACTAACGCGGTCAGCAATATGGACCTTTTATGGTCAGAACTGATTTATCATTGTCGTGAGTTCTACATGAATCTGAAAAAATTCTAAATTATTTATTATAGTCCATACTTTCATGTACAAATGACACTTTAACCAAATTTTCATATCATTTCACAATAACAATAAAAAATGGAGGTGAAGATATAAAGAAATAAGATTCTGTCTTAAAGCTGCACATCTTTGTAATAAGCAAATATTTAAAAAAGATATTGTAGGGTTTCATTTATAAGACTATGATCGTTCGAAAAAATATGCAGAGATTTTCCAGCCCTTAAAAAAGTATAATTATTTTGAGACTTCAATTTGGAAGATTTTTGAGTAGATTATATCAATGGATAACAAAGCAATGTATTATTTTGAAAATAAACTTGTATATGATGTATAAAAATAAATCATGAATGAATCATAAAATATACATATTACAAGCTACTATTTTTTCAATAGTCTATTCGATGCTCCTTATCATTGCCGTTCTATATACTTTGCATACCTACATAATGAAACTTCCATCGAAAGTGACATTGACATTGTTTCTCCAAATTGGGGAATCCTGAGATATATTCTCAAAAGCAGTGTGACCACCTTTTAGCAAATGCATATCTCCATCATCTTCTATACAAAAAATCACAGTACCATAATTTTTTGTTAATAATTCATCATCAAACGATATTATAATTAAAAATTTTATTAAGAGTAACAAAAATTATATATAATCCAGTCCTAAATATAATTTAATTACATAAAAAGCTTTGATATTAGAAACTAAAAGTTTTAACATTTAACGTAAAATAACTTTTGTTTTAACTTATTTTTAAACTTTATTGCTAATTTAACTATCAATATTAAGATTTTCTAAACAGCTATATTCATAGTAAACTACTATACGCTTGCGTATTGAAAATTTCTTCCAGATTCATGTTACAGTTGCTGTTCTATATCTATGTTACAAGTATTGTGCGACTTCAGATACGCATGCGCATAATGCATTATGATCACACTCAATTCAACGGATTTAATTTTCAACTAATTTGAAGTATTCATTATATTAATATAACATATATATATATATATATACATTATAATAGTTAACATGACACTATTTAATTACATAGCCACTAATATTTATTTATAAATACATTTTTAATTTATTATTTTGAATAAAAATAAAAATTCCGTAAAGTAACATCTTTAAGGTGATAATTTCAAATAAAACAGCTATACATATTACAAATATAAAATAGCATGTTAATTTATCAAAAAATATAGAACACTGTGTATATATAACGTAAAAGTCATACAACAAAAGAAAAATTATATTCTTAAAATAATGTCTAACTGAAATTTAATGGTTAAAATGCGTTTTTATAATTCTACAATTTTATTTCGATGATACATGTGTACCGAAATGGTATTAGGTAACGTTAAAGATACACTATTTTAGATTGACGGTTAAACTGCCACACATGACACACATATATTCAAAACCATAGCATAGGTAAAACATAGCGAGGATACCTTACTTGTAAATGTCACTCGACCACGCGTACATACCAACCGCTTTCGATTAAGTGATTGGTTAATTCATTCGACTTCTGTCCAATGAAATTTCTTTAGGAACACGTCATGCGGTGATATGAGCGCTACTATGCAGCATACCTTCAAATTACGTCCCCACCATTACACTCGGTACGAAGAGGAAAGAAGATGGCTGCGAGGAGCGAGAAAGAAAACAATCTCGAAGAGCGTTAAAGGTTGTAGAAGAACACCGTACCTCGAAGGAGAACAAACTACAAATCGTTCGAACCTCTCCAACACATTATTCGAACTACCACTGAAGAACAAACACTCGAAAACGACGGGAAAACGGTTGTTGAATAGTTACATGTGTGTCCTTGTCACGAAGTGGTCAGTCTCTCGAGGATCGTCCTTGGAATCGCTCGTTCCTGAAGCCGGCTCGAGGAGCTAGTGATCTCGAAAACAAAAATGGCGGATGTCGACTCAAGGGTGGATCATTCGGACCCTGAATTGCGGTTCCTTTCCGTTGACAGGAATAATTTCAATGATCCCGCAACTCAAGCAGAATGGACACAGAAAAAGCTGGTTTGGGTACCCCACGATACCCAGGGTTTTGTGGCAGCCGGGATAAAAGGTGAACGGGGTGATGAGGTTGAAGTGGAAATTGCCGAAACTGGAAAACGTGTCCTCGTCGCGAAAGATGATATTCAGAAAATGAATCCGCCAAAATTTGATAAAGTTGAAGATATGGCTGAGTTAACGTGCTTGAACGAAGCATCCGTACTGCATAACCTCAAAGACAGATACTACTCGGGCCTCATTTACGTGAGTTTGACAGATTTTATAGTTTCCATCCGCTAAACTTGTCAGAAGGATCTTGACAATGCTTTGTCTGTAAAGCCTCTTGTTCTTGTAATTCTAAGTGAAATTGGATACACGGTTCTTCAAAGGGCTGATACATTGAAACATTTTCTTAGTTCCTTTTAATCTTGCTTGCTAATATAAGAAATATTAAGATCAACTGCAGTATTATGAATACTAAAGCTATTCACGAGGGCATGATTAGATAAGGCAATTCTTGATTGGAACCACCACATCTGGTTCGTTATAATTATTTTTGATAGTATATATCATGTATATATATATATATATGTTGATAATTATATCAAATGAATTTTGATTTTAGTTATAAAAGCATATCCATGTGTATTTACAATTTGATATTTCATTGTAAATAACATTGCATATAGCAGCAATTCATTAATTCTGCAGTTCATATATTTTCTGGGAAAATGGTTTATAAATCTTTTTTGTTAACTATGTAGGTACAATAGCAGTGATATCATTATTAAATTCAACACAATGGAAGGAAAAGAATAAATGATAATAGACATAAAGTCAGTGATTACCACTATCTAATATAAGTAGTTAATTGTTAGATACCATTAGAAAATTATGTTTATCTATCACAAACAATAGAAACAAAAACAAGACTTACGTGATAACCACAACTTCAAACTATTTTATTTATTATTCTATTATTTTACGTAATTTAAATATTTATACATAAAAATATTGATTACACTATGACTTATATCTTTGTTTTATTTTGTACAAGAACTTTGAAAACTTCGTTACATTCTTTTGGAGTTTTGTGTCTTAATTTGAGTCCCGTTAACATTATACAACATATCCATCTCTAATTCTCTTAATTCAGTATAATAAAGATCAATAATATATGAATGTAAAAGAAGAGATTAAGATGATATAAAGCAAATATGTGATATGATTATTTTTCATTATGCCTTTTTAAAACTGCAACCAACATTTTAATGGTATTTCAAATTATAATTATTTAAAGTGTTCTAAACAAAATTACATTTAGATTCCTTTGCACCAAAAGAGTCTTCGATCTATTAGTAAATCTCATCACTGAATAACGAAAAATTATATTTTTTATGATATGCATTGAAATGTCAAAGGTTATGTGACAAGTTTCTTATGGCACTATGCTTCAACCGCTCCTATTCTTAACTCTTCTCTTCTGGATTTAAAAATGAATCCTTTTAACAAATGTTAAGTTAATAGTAACAAATAAATAAGAAATCAGTTATATTAACAGATAAGTACTACATATCTATCATATCTTCTCTAAACTTGTAAATAGTTTGTGTGCTTTAGTAAGTTTTAATTTATAATATTTTATCAATTAGAAATTTGCTTTTATTTCCTTAAGAAAATTAATTAACATCTTGCTTATTGCATGCAGTGAATAAGCAATTCTTTATTCCAATATGCATCAATACATAAACTTTCAATTAACTTTCTTAGGGCAAAAGATTATTTAAGAATCCTTACTTCACAATTGACAAAATATCCATTGTCATTAATAGGACCTTCTTCTTTACACTGAAATTTAAATCAAACTAATCACATTTGTTTATTATTACAGTTATTTACATTTAAACCCTTTGTTTACTGTACGCCGGTCGATTACACAATGAAAACTTGGTAAACATGTCACTGACCTGGCACAATCATCTGTCAGAATTCGATTATCACCCGATGACACGATTAAGCTTTATTCAGCACGTTTCGAATTAGAATTATCTAATATTTCCGTTTTTAGTTCACGTATCACCGCCGCACAATTTCTCTCCGATCCGCCGAAGTTAATAAACATCATAAATGATTTACGAACTCTGATACGTTAACAATAGTACAAAGCGCATTAAAGTCGAAATAAAAGTATCCGTGGGCAATAAAAGCGAAACGGTAAATACTTACTTTCTTCTTCGTGCTGAAACAACCAGCTTACCAATTTCTTTTGCAAGCGATTGAAAATCTGCGGACAAAAGATTTGTGGCTTTCTGTTCGACTCGAAATTGCTGAAAGAAATTTCAAACGACTCGAAATCAAATTAAAATGTTCATTTTAGTCGTTACTCTTTATTTATGACTTCCTGGTCTAAAAGCTTATCTAAACCTTAATTTCTTCATTATCGGTGAACAAAGGTTCCAAAGGCTTAACGGAAGAATCGTTAAGACTTACTTTCGTTAAATGTAGGGCTTACAACTTGATAGGTGATCCTCTGGCGCTAAGTTTGTACAGTCCACGCATTACAGAGAAAGTATGAACCGCCATTAAGTTTAAGTAGTTTGCAATCCTAACGTGCGGTCGATATCATCGGTCGAAACACACCAAAAGAACATCGGCGCGAGGGAAGCCAGATCTTCAATAAAATGAAATAAATGAGCCATTCATTTTGAAAATGGCTTTAGTCCATTTGGGAAAAAGGGTTTAAAAATAAAACCATTGTGTAGAATTGTAAATATTATGACTAAATTTTCAGGCAAATTCGAATTTTTTAAAAATATAATTAGAAAAATGGCATTATAACTAAATTTTCATAAATGTGTAAAATATTCAGAGTATAATGCTTTTTATAGTTTTCATTGAAAAGGATCAATTTCTATCGTAATTCCACCTTTCAAATTATATTTTAAAAAATTCGAAATACGATAGAATCGTAATTATTATAATTAAAATTTCATCAAAATTTAAGTTTTTTAAAATATAATTTGAAAAATTGTAGTGGAATTGTAATTATTATAACTAAACTTTCATATAGATTCAAATTTTTAAAAGTATAATTAGAGAAATGAAAGGACGATAGAAAATCGTTTTTTTAATGAACAGTATGAAAAGCACTGTACTTCGAATATTTTACACATCCTTTTTTTATTCCATTCATTTTGTGGAATTTGATTTTTCTTTATTACTGGGGTTAAGTACACTCCAGTAAACGCTGAACGGATGAAAACGCAACTGAAAAAGTGGTAAAAGGTAGAATTTCAATGTTAACGGTCAACACCTATACGTTCCGTCTCTTGACTGTTATCAGCAACTGATATAACTGTCGCCCCTCGCTTCCACGTATCATTGACTCATCGTATTTTTCTTTTAAGTACTCGTTCCGGAGACTTCACTGCAATCCAAAAAATTTTTATCGCGCGAACAGGATATTAAATAATGATCGACAGTTGATAAACGTTTAATTGAAAAGAACTATATTCGTGCAACTGAAACGTTGGATTTGCCAAGAATAACGTTTAATAACATTTCAGTATATAATTTTAATTACTTCAGAAACGAATGATTCATTTGAGAACGAGATTGAGGTGTATTTAATTCGTTAGCCCTTCAACCGAGGAAATAAATTATATATTGAACTCTTTATTATTATTATCATCATTTGAGTTTATTTTAAGATGGTCACATTAACAGTAAAGTCATTAGTGACCACCAACACTTGGATACATTACTTAATAATATTTATTACATAATTACTGATTGTATAATAATATACTAATTATATGAATAATAATACAAATACAAATACGGAATAAATATATCTTAATTACAATGAATTTAAAAGTTTAATTTGTCTGTTCATCTGGATTAGTTAAGTTCATCTTCATATCAGATTCAATGTTGCAGTTGATTCTTTTAGAAGAGAAACAGAGTCAATTTATTAGAATGTGTTTAATACTTAGAGGTATTTTGCAAAGTATGCATTCACTTCTATCTCTCGCAAATGTTCAAATTTTCAAAACAAATCAAATATACCTGAATGCCAGAAAAAGGAAACTACTTATTGATCGTTGGTTATTTGAATAATTAAATTATTCGTTTGCAATTTTATGTTCTAAATATGAAATATGTCTCGAATATGATGACACTCGTCTTCAAAGGGTCAACCTATTAACTGTGGAATTTAGTTTGAAAAATCTCTCGTTTTGCGCGCAATAAAATAAAAAAATGAACGAATACACCTAGGGTATATTTTAATACTAGAACTACCAGCCAAGTCAAAATGACTCATTTCTTGTGTCTAATTTTTGCAATTATTGAAAAGACAACAGATAATTCTCTAAAAACACTGAAGAAATTGACTTAGCAATGTGCAAGCTGAATTGTAAATCAATAGAAATCTCAACAGATGCACTCTTGGAGTTTCTATAGAAAAATGTCTAGAAGTCAATTTAACTCCTCGATAGTTCTAGTGTTAATGAACAACCAAAGTAAAACAAAGAAGAATTACATGTTTATGTGAAAAAATAAAGAATTCATCGTTGAAAGAATTAGTTAAATTCTATTCTAGTTAAATACTCCGGCCTAAATATTCAGTTTAAAAAAAAAATTAAACCTTCGCATATACGCTGTGGAATTCCTTGAACCGATCGTTTCTCCAAAAATTTCTTTATCGCTGGGAACTTTGTACAAGCTATTTACTTACAAAATAACCTGCGTTACACGAGATACGGATTGTACAAAGTTTGGAGCGATAGTGAGACGACGAGGATCGAACGAAAATCGAACCGCTGCGTTGATCGCGCGAAAAATATTCGCATCTCCGTGCGCATACCTATCCGAGTACATCCTTCGTTCGAATGTAACGCACCGATGTGCTCACGATGCGGGTGTGTTCTGTTGATAGTCGCGAAATACGAGTATTCATTAAATATTTGAATAGTCTTAACCGAAGAATAATGAAAGAGCGACGCGATTTTTAATTTATCCGTTGAAAAATGTTCTTCTTTTTTGTATTTTTAAAGCTTCGTATTGTATTTTTAAAGCTTCGTATTAAAAATCTCGTTTTTATATAAATACTTGTATATGTAATTTTGTTAACACTATTCCTATCGAAGGTGTCAAAAGATGCTTTTTAACATTTTAACTTAAAATTATTTTCTTAGTTTAATCACTGTTCCTCAATTGAACGTTGGACATTTCCTACAGTTAATGTTATAATCGTTATTGGA